GTTTAAACAATTAAAAGGGAGTTACCGTGTCTCAGAAAGCTGGTGTACTGTCTTACACGTGGATGACCTTTGTGTTGGGAAGAGCCCATGTCAGGCACTCACAGCCACGTGTGGCCTGGGGCTGTTGTCTGGGGCAGAAGGTGGGGGCTCCTGTGTCTCCTGGAGTCACGCCCAGAGCTCATTTCAGGTGTGTGTATGTCTGCGTGTGCGCACGCGCGTGCGTGCGTGTGTGTGCGCGTGCTTGCGCCGCTGACCCCCTACCATCTTGTCTGTTCAGTGGCCCTAAGGCTCTCGCTGCCCCCTTGGGAGGAGCTGCGGAGTCAGTTCACAGCCTTGGGGCAGACGTGAGCCCTGGGGCCTCAGCTTCTGTCACATGTACTGGGTCTCTCTGGCAGAGTGTCCCCTGGTGCAGCGCTGGCCCTGGGGGTCACCCCCTTCCCCCGTCCCCCCAGTACAGTGCTGGCTCTGGGGGTCACCCCCTTCCCCCTTACCACCCCCTGGTGCAGCGCTGGTCCAAGGGACACTGTAGATACTCAGGCCTGGGAGCATGTCTCCCCTGGCTTGAGCCCATTGGTGGCAGAAATCCCTGCAGCCTGGCCTCTGGGGCCATCTTAGACCTGTTGGCGGGATCACCCAGGCTGGACAGGGCTTCTAGACAGGAGGGGAGTGAGGTCCTGGCCACTTCTTTTAGGGGGGTGGCACTGGGAGGTGTCAGGATCCCCTCCTCTACGCCTTAGTAGCCAGAACTGCGGTTCTGGGGGTTCCGTGGGTTGGAGGCAGGCAGGGGAGAGGGGTTCTGCTTCCTGAGGAGACTCCAAGGCATTCAGTACATTGTCACGAGGACCTCACACCTTAACCGCTTCCCGGTGTGCCCCAGTGTTTGTACCCTGTGCGAGGGGGGCACAGCCACAAGGCAAAAAGGAGGTGACTCCTGGCTGGCCCCGCCCCACAAGGGTGACCTGGCAGCAGCTGGCCATGAGGTGGGGCAGTCCTCAGTGTCCTCACCCTCATCCCTGCAGGCCCATCCTTGGTGCAGGTGTTCATCTCAGTTGATTGTGACTGAGGTGTGTCCACATCTGCCTGAGGCGTCCCTGCAGGGGTGGCCTGGGGTGGGGCTGGCCCCTCTAGAGGGTGTGGGGCCTCAGGTCACACGGCCAGGGCAGACACTGCCTATTGGGCGGGAGCCCAGGAGGGAGGGAGGGCTGGTGGGTTTCTCTCACTGGCTCCTGTGCCCATAGGCCCCTCTGTACATGTCACACCGTGGTGGCCCACATCTCTGGCCCAGGGGCCTAGGGTTCTGGCAGATGTTTCCCTGAGAACACCTCGAGGTTCTGACCCCGCTCATGGTTTCCGTTGTCCCACTGCCCTGATCCCCTGTCCACCTGCCTCCAGGAAAGAGTGGACCCCAGCAGGAGACGGGCCAGCAAGGCCTCCACTTGGAGCCGGGACCCTGTGGCCAGCCATGAAGGCAGCTCTGCTTGGCTGAAGAGACAGCTTCCCAGGCCCCTAGGGCTGCTGACTCTCTGTGGGTATGGGAGAGGTCGGGGGGTAACCATGGCTGTCCCCTGACCTCAGACCACCTGTCCCGGGAGGCTGTCCATGCCTCACCTGGCCCTTTGCTAGAGGGGTGAGGGACATTTCCCAGGATGTTTCTGTCCCTTATCTGATTGGCCCCCACTATCTCTGGGGACCTGCTGGGGGGAAGCTGCTGAGTGACTGCTCCTCCGTGTCTGGTGGGGAGAGCTGACCCCCCGGACCCCACCCTGTGCAGAAAACCACCTGATTTTTCTTAAGTAAATCATCACGTGTGCTGAGTCTTCTTGGACACTCGGGCTGGCTTGTTGCCATTTCTGTATCTTATCTGCTGTGCAGGAACCACCTGACTTGGGGCATCCCTCTGGCCTGTTTCATGACCTTGAGGCCCCTAGCACCTCCATTAGGACCTCAGCCCACACACAGTGGGTCTCCCTCTGTGGGGTGACCGAGCAGCTGGCCACGTGCCGTGGCCGGGACTGGGCAGCTCCATGAGGGGCACTGGGCAGCACTCTGAGGACACGCCAGCTGACCTTTCAAATGATCAAGTGGTGTGTCATACAGTTAAAAATAGCCAGGTGGCTGAGAATATAAATGAGACCTGCTCCCTGCACTTTTCTCCTCCAGACCCGGTTCTCGATGCTCCCGCAGGGCCTTTGATTTCTCCCCTTTGGCATCAGCAGGGGGCTGTCCATGTTGGTTCTACTGTTTATGACACAAACTTTTTCTTTGAAAGTCCAGTGAAGTCTCTTACTTCTGTCGAACGATGGCACATAAAGGATGTGGGGGTTCCTCAGCATCAGGGACCAGAGAGTGGTTGGTGGTTGGAAGGGCCTCGCAAGGAGGGCAGGTGAGGGGCACCTGGGGAGCGCCCGTGCCCCCCCATGAGGCGGGGCCTGCCTCTGTCACCCGCCCTCCAGGCCACGACCCCCCCCCCCCCGCAGGAGCTGGGTTTGTGGGTACCCTCTTGCAGTGACTGCCTGACAGGGCACCCAGAAGGAAGCTGTGGTTATCACGTGGGAGAGAATGAGCCATTGGCCTTGTGGTTTGATGTCCATGTGGCTGGGCTCCAGGCCTGCGATCCCCCCCCCCCCCTGTGCTGGGGAGCCTGTATTTCAGGGGCAGGTCTGGCCTGGGCGCTGCACACACCTTCACCAGGCGGCCATCTCCCCTCTGAGACCTCAGGCTTTCGGCTACCACTTCTGCTTCTCTGATTCGGTTATTGGATGTTTTCACTTTAATTTTTGACCTTTGAAAACCCGGGCTATTATTTACATGTAATGAGATGCAGATATTACGTGTCCAAGTGGATGAGATACACACACGTGTGACCCGCATCCTTTGTGAGGACGCAGACTGTTCCTCCTGCCCCCCTGCCTCCAGGTCCTGCACCCCCCATCCGTCCCCGCTGCCCCCCAGTCCCCACCCCAGAAGTGAACATCCTTAGCCTCAGGTGCTCTGATTTTTCTGGACTTTGGTGCTGTTCTGTGTGGAGCTACTCTGAACCCTTGTGCCGCCCTGGGCAGGTCCCTGGGTGGGTCCCTGAGGGTTCCTGGTGGGTCCCAAGCGGGTCTCTGGGTAGATCCCTGGGTGGGTCCCTGGTGGATCCCTGGCGGGTCCGTGGTCGATCCTTGGGTGGGTCCCTGGTGGGTCCTTGTAGGGTCCCTGGAGGGCAGTGGCTGGGCCCTGGGCAGGTGTAAACCCTCCTTGTACCCCTGATGTGTCCAGAGGCCTCAGCTGCTCCTGGCGCCCCCTGCGGTTCTGCGGCCCCCTTAGTTGGGCCTGCTGGTGGGCATCAGGTGTCATCTCAGGGCAGGAAGGGACGTCTTCTTGGACACTCGGGGTGGCTTGTTGGCCATTTCTGTATCTTACCTGCTGACACCCTGTTTGGTTGTGGAATTGCAGGGGTCCTGTGTGTTTGGGTGGAGTCCCATGTCAGAGGTGTCATTGGGAACCATTTCTCCAGTCTGTGGCTTGATTTTTCTTAAGTAAATCATCACGTGTGCTGAGTGAAGTGTGTTTCCATGTCATTGCCAGGATTAAATGTTAGTGTATTTGTACCTGATGTTTCATCTTATTTCCAAACTGGAGCCTTCGTGGGACACCTGGTGGTTCAGTGCTTGAGTGTCTGCCTTTGGCTCAGGGTGTGATCCCCAGGCCCTGGGATCGAGTCCCACATCGGGCTCCCTGCAGGGAGCCTGCTTCTCCCTCTACCTGTGTCTATGCCTCTCTGTCTCTCATGAATAAATAAAATCTTTAAAAAAAACAAACAAACTGGAGGCTTCATTTGCCAGGGCACTTTCTTGATTGCTACTTTAAAAGAAAATGTTTATCTATCTATTTACTTACATAAAGTATGAGTAGGGAGGGGCAGGGAGACCTTGCAGCAGATGCCCCTCAGGGCTCCATCCCATGGCCCTGAGATCATGACCTGAACCCCCCAGAGTTGGACCTCCACCAGCGGAGCCACCCTGGTGCCTCTCGACTGTTCCTGTTTAATGAGAATCTTGCTTTTACGTATGTGTGTCAGCCTCCTGCATTCCACTGAGCACATAAACTAGATTTTTTGAAGTCCATCTGTCCCCGAATTATTTTTCTCTGGGGTCAGCTGCGGGATGGTTCTCCAGGTGTTTCTTTGCTCTGCTGGGGGTCGTGAGGCCAGGGAGGGTCTGTGGGGGCGGGGCTGGAGGATGCAGGTGTGTGAGCTGGGGCCTGCAGATGGCCGGTTCCTGGGGTGTGGCTGGCAACGGTGGAGCCCTGTGGTTGGCTCTGAGCATTCCATGGGGTGAGCCCACCTCTGTGGGCTGTGGCTGTGGCCCCAGGGCAGGGCGCAGGGTGGGTGCTGGAGGGGTCTGTGTGGTGAAGGGTGTTGGTGCCTCCCTTGCAGGGCGTGGCTATAGCTTTGGGTGGGCACCGCCCCATGGGGACTCCCAGCAGGGACAATGGTGTTGCTGGGTCCTAAGTAGCCATAATGTCTGGTCAGCTCAGACCCTAGAGGCCTGTGTGCTGTGCCCCCGGCACCGCTGGCCTGGCTGGGACCCTTGTTCCTGGGTCTCGTCTGCTCTGGTCGCGTGTCCTCGAAGTTGCGTGTACATGTACGTTGGAAGGGAACCGATGTGTCTCTTGCGACAGCATTCAGAATGTGGGTGTTGAGGACAGGAGGCCTTGCAGGTGTTTTAGGGGAGAATGTGTGAGTGTGGCAGTGTGGGTTCTCCAGGAGTCTCAGGCTCCCAGAGACCGTTTTGGTTTGTCCAGGTGCAGGGGCTCATCCGGGGCCACGGGGCTGCTGACTTGGAGGTCGTGAGTGTGGGAGGACCCAGCATAGGGGCCAGGGCAGACCCTTTACAACCCCAGACGCCAGGCCCCTCCCTCTGCTGTGCCCTGCATACCAGGAGCCATGAGGAAGGCAGGCAGTCCCCGCTTGGGCCCCTGGCTCTGGGAAGGCCTTAGCCTGTGTGTTTCTCCAGGACCGGAAGCTCACCAAGCTGGAGAGGCAGCGGTTCAAGGAGGAGGCAGAGATGCTGAAGGGCCTGCAGCACCCCAACATCGTGCGCTTCTATGACTTCTGGGAGTCCAGTGCCAGGGGCAAGAGGTGCATCGTGCTGGTGACCGAGCTGATGACGTCAGGGACACTGAAGACGTGAGCGGGCCCCTGCCAGCTGGCCGGACCCTGGGGTGGGCCGGGTCCAGGGCGCGGGGCCTCCGTCCGCCAGGGCCTCTCGCAGGAGCGGCCCCACCTGGGGTCTGGGTGGCACATGCACGTCCTCCGGTCTTGGAAGCGCCCTCCTTGGAGGAGCCGCTGGTGAGCCGCGCCCCACCCGCAGGTACCTGAAGCGGTTCAAGGTGATGAAGCCCAAGGTGTTGCGCAGCTGGTGCCGGCAGATTCTGAAGGGGCTGCTGTTCCTGCACACCAGGACGCCCCCCATCATCCACCGGGACCTCAAGTGTGACAACATCTTCATCACGGGGCCCACTGGCTCTGTGAAGATTGGCGACCTGGGCCTGGCCACCCTCAAGAGAGCATCCTTTGCCAAGAGTGTGATCGGTAAGCCCTTGCCCCGGGGGCCCCAGCTGCAGCCCTGATGGCCTGCTGGGGGGTCCCAGGCTGTGGGTCTGGTGCTGAGGCTGGTGGGTGCCCTCGGGGCAGTGGACGCTCAGCAGGAAGGAAGCCCCAATGACAGAGGGACTCAGGCTCTGTGGCCAGTAAGGCTGGCACAGGCGGGAAGGTCGGTGCCCTAGGGCCTGAGGCCCACAGACGGGAGTCCCTGGGGATCTGGGCCCCGAGGAGCCCATGGGGCATGGGACCAAGGGGATTTGTTGTGGCTGCTGGTGTGCTAGCCTCTTCTTTCCGAGTGTTTGGTACTGCTCTGAGAAGTGTCCCCCACAGCCTTTCGGGGTGAGGCCCCATCCGCAGCTTCCCTGCAGGGATAGGCTGCACTGGAGTCCTGGTGGCAGCGGGCATTGGGCTGGGGCCTCTCTAGGGCATTATGGAGAGAGTGCTTGGAAGGGCAGCAGGCAGACAGGGTTTGAGACATCTGGGTAGTGCTGCAGGGCTGGGCCGCCCTGGGTGTGGCTGCAGAAGTCCTGTTTAGCAACTTGGGGTCAGGGGCCAGGAGGGGGGCCCTCTTGCCAGTTTGAAGCCATGTGTGGGGACAAAGCAGGACAGGAGGCTGATCTCAGGGTTCTGCACGCTCGTGGTTCTGATGAGCACATTTGGGGACAGAACTTGGCCTATTTGTGGCAGATGAAACCGCTGGGAATCTGGAAATGTCTCGGGCAGGGTTAGTGGGTTTGGAACATGACATCTGGGGCAGGGTGGCTGCCAGGGGTGCCTTGCAGGCCTGGTCCTTGGTCTGTGAAGTGGATGGGGCCTGGCTGGTGGGAGCATGCCTCTGAGCTGCTGGGTTTCTGAGCAGGTTTTGTAGGTCCGGCCTTGGGTGTGGGGTGCTTGGCCAAGCCCCCTGGGGTTCCCATGGCTGGTGGGATGTCAGTGTACTGGGTGCAGGCTGGATGGCCTGATGGGGGGATGTGAAGGCTGGTGTCTCCAGCAGGTGCATCTGCCCCAAGCCCAGTACAGGGTGTGCAGCTTTGTGGGGTCCGTGATCACCTCAGCTTTCGTCTGCTGAGGCCACAGAAGCTCCAAACTCACAGAGAACAGGGGGTGATTTGCACGTCTCCCCGGGCACTGGGCACTGGGCAGCAAGGCCCCTTCCTCAGCAAAGGGCCAGCACCAAGAGGGTCCCTTGGTCAGGTGTGTGTGGGAAGGGGTCCCCACGCCTGAGTCAGGCTCCCAGCCCTGTGCTGCATCCTGCAGGGAGAGTTGATGCTCTGGACGCCCTGTTGGGTGCAGCTGTAGGGTTTTGTGCCTGCATTTGGGTTTGTACTTTAGATGTGGCCCACTTTGCACATTGGGTGGAGGTGTCCAAGGACCTCTCCCCTTGCTCTTGGGGGCCCTGTGGCCCCAGGCCCAGGGGCTCTGTGTCAGCTGATGGGAAGGACCCGTGGGTGGATTGGGTGAGAAGGTCCCCAGCACCCAGGCGATGACCTCATCACCAGCACTGTGGCCACAGCCCCTTGATGCCGTGTGCACACACAGCCAGGGGTTACATGCCCCTTGGGGGGTTTGTCCCCAAGAGCCGCCCTCATCCGATGGCATCACTGTGCTCTTGCTGCACTTATGTTGGCCAGGCCCTGTGGTTCAGAACCTCAAAAAGACAGAGACACTCGGACTCCTGTTCTCTGTCTCCCTTCTTTCCGTCATTTCCAATTTGGAATCCCCTAGAATTCTTCATACAGATTCATAAACCCAGAGACAGATTCCTGTTTTTGCCATTTCTCATCCAAAGTGTTAACTTGTTTTGTTAAACATATGATACGGTTTAAGTGGAAATTATGGGTAAAGGAGAAAAAGTTGGACTCTCATGTAATCATCCGCGTCCCTGAGAGCCACAGGCAGCGCAGTACATCACATCATGTGCTCATGGAGTCTCTGCTGTTCTGCACCTGCTTGTTGAAGAAACGGGAAGATTTTGAAGGCTTTGAAGTGGAGGAAGCCCAAAAGGTGGAGACGTGACAGTGTTGCTGAGATTGACGTTCCCGACATCTCCCTTTGCTTTGCGTTTGGCTGGACCTATTTTAATAAGAGGGTTTTGTGAGTTTTAAAGCAGAAGTTTGTTACAGAAAATTAAAAAAAAAAAAAAAAAAGCCAAGACCAGAGAAACTAAAGGAAGAATCAGCGGGAACCCCCTGCCCTGCCTCCCCGTCATCCTGGGTCTGTGCTTGCCGCTGTGTGGAGACGAGGTCATTGTGCACTAACAACCGAACGCTTGGTTTTACTCAATCTGTTGAAAAATGCAGAGTAAGCAATGTTTTGAAACAGCCCGTGTTTGGGCACCTGAGCACTAAGTGGGCACCTTGTCCCTGCTGCCCAACATGCGCCCTCGTGTGCCTCTGGGGACATCTGGGGCCCTCCTAGGATTTTGCAATTTGGTAGCTCTGTGGGGACCATGGTTTTTTGTCTGTAGTGGTTGTCCAGCCCAAGGCCAGGAGACGTGTGCTGCTCTGTGTTTGACACCCCCGGTGTGGGGCGCACAGATGCCTTGGGGCGTACCGGGCTCTGAGCTGTGGGGGCTCCTAATGATGTGAGCGGATCCGACCCGGGATCAGGAGGGTCTGGGTATGTGTGTAGGACCCCTAGGGTGCAGAGCACTCTTGTGTGAACCTCAGATTCCAGGACTGATCCTGACTCTATCCCTGACCCTACCCTAGCCCTGACTCTCACCCTAACCCTGACCCTTACCCTGCCCCTGACCCTGACCCTAGCTCGATGCTGACCCTGGCCCTGACCCTGACCTTAGCTCTGACCCTGACCCTGACCACTGACCCTGCATCTGCTGCTCCCGGGCACAGGTACACCTGAATTCATGGCGCCCGAGATGTACGAGGAGCATTACGATGAGTCCGTGGACGTCTATGCCTTCGGAATGTGCATGTTGGAGATGGCCACCTCGGAGTACCCCTACTCAGAGTGCCAGAACGCCGCCCAGATCTACCGGAAGGTCACCTGTGTGAGTCCCCCGGCCACTCAAAGGGCCGCTCTTTGTGAAACGCTTTGTGGGAGCAGGGGAAGGATGCCGTCACAGGGGAAACTGAGGCTGCCTAACTCAGTGCCGTGGCTGCAGTGGTGGTGTGGGTGGAGGGGGCCTCGCAGACCTTTGGGGTTTCTCTGGGAGGCGCCCCCGCTGCCTGCCCGCAGAGCCCCTTCTCTGGCCACCCCTGGGCCACTGGTTTCCTGGGTCCTGGTGTGTCCCCAGGCCAGCCAGTAATCGGGTGGCTTCGGCTCTGCAAACACATCTCCCTGTCCTCCCTCCGTGGCTGTTCTACCTGGTGAGGCTGACTTTTCTGGGCACCAGGCCCCATGGTCCCTGAGTCCAGGCTGCCTTGCCCCGCCCTCCCCCTGCATTTCCCGCAGGTGTAGCTCATTTCTCTCTTCCAATCTTAGTTGCTTGTTTGGAGGCCTCCCGTGCTGCTCAGGGTGGGAGGTGGGGGGACAGGGCTTTGGCTGGTGGCCCTTGTCAAAGATGCATAGGTAGGTGTGCGGGCCCCCCCGTGATGCTGGCTGGACAGGACGGGCTTGACAGCTGTGGGCAGTGGTCCTCCATGGGGAGGGGTCACCGAGGAGGTTTGGGCCTCCTTCCCGGGCCTTGGGGGCGGGTGCAGGGGAGCAGCCCACCAACCCTGCTCTGCATGCGGGCATGCACGGGGCTGTGGTCCATCTGCTGGGCTGGGGAGACAGGATGGGTTCCCCTGGGGTGCTCCTCAGCCGCCATGGCTCCCCTGTCAGCCCCGGGAAACGGAGCTCAGGCCAGGGCTCCTGAGTGGGCCCAGGTCAGCTTGGGTCCTGCTCCCTGAGGAACGCAGAGGGGAGGCGTGTTCCCTGATCCTTGGCGTGTTTTGTGGTCATGCCCTGTGGGCCCACTGGTCCATCTGCCGCCCCTGACTCCAGGGCCCTCAGGGATTCTGTGTCCCTGCTGCCACCTGCCCGGCTCCTTGCCTCTGAGCCTGGGGACAGGAGCCCCTTGGAAACAGCACCTGTTCCTCACCTGCTTGGGTGGCCCCAGGCCCTCAGAGGTGCGAGTGGGCACAGTAATTGTGGTGGTAGTTGACCACACCACCTGCCTCCCGCAGGGACCCAGGCCCCTTCAACCTCCTTTCCTGGTGGCTTCAGGAAAGGCCAGGGCTTTGCATCTCCAAGGGGAACCCCTTGGCTGTGCCTGGAGCCCAGCATCCCTGTCTATTGCTGCAGACTCTGCTGCGCAACACAACCCCCATCGGTTATGAGCCAGGGGCCAGGGGGCCAAGGGTGCAACGGGCCCCGCCTGGGTAGCAGGAGCCACTGGAGGTCCTGCACTCCTGTGGCCGCCCCTGGGCTGGAGGCCGCTCCTGACCTCTCACCCTGTGGGGGAGCATACATGTCCTATGCTTTACATCAGAGTCTTATTGGAAGACCTGATGGGTCAGGCCGTCAGTGAGTTTAAAATGGTTAAAAATCAGTGGTCCCTGCCTGCAGCCCTGTGCCATGCAGCTCAGTCCCAGGTCCTCCCGCAGGCCCCTTTGCCTGCTGGGCTGCACCAGCTCCTGCTCCCCCATGCCATGGCTGTCGCCGGCTGAGCTGTGCCATCCCACAGGCACCTGCTGTGTCTGTGGTCAGTGTGGGTGCTTCTGAAGGCTGCCCGGCTGCAGAACTCCGTGGCTTGGACCTGCAGCCACCAGGCCTTGGAAGTCAGCCCTGCCCGTGGCCACAGCAGGGCCAGCGCAGTGACCACACCACGCCCTGGGCACCCTCGAGGGAGGGCATGGTGAGCAAGGCCGTTGTCCTGCCTGTCGCGGCTGCACTGTGTGCAAGTGCTCTTGTCCACTGAGGGCCAGGCCGGGCTCCTCCCCAGGCCCCACTGCTCCCAACAGCCCCTCCTGGGGATTTCGGAGGACCTGGGTCCCCAGTCAGCTCGTGCCTCTCCTGCCTTCCCCCTGTCGGGTTAGTTTCCTTGCTGGACAGGAAACAAGACCCTGACGGGACACTGCTTGTCTGGTCTTACAGGGTATCAAGCCTGCTAGTTTTGAGAAGGTGCATGATCCTGAGATCAAGGAGATTATTGGGGAGTGCATCTGCAAGAACAAGGAGGAAAGGTGAGTCGTGGGGTGCTGGGCCTGGGTGACATCCCCACCACGGCCCACACATGCTGGAGACAGGCTGCTGCTTCAGGCCAGATCTCATCTCTACTGCTTGGAGTCTACGCCCTTGCTTGGGGGCTACCTTGGGGCCTCCCCGCTCTGCTGGCTGCTTCTCACCTACCTGGCCTGGAGCAGGGGCACCCCCAAGCCCTCAGCCTGCCCCTGTCACCTCCAGGCTGTGGATCCCTACACCAGAGCCCACCTCAGGTCAGACCCTGGGGCTGCCCCAGCCACCCAGCCTCCTCAGCTGGCCCTCTAGAACGCTGCCCTCCCCTCTCCTCCACTCCTCCCCCCTTCTCCTTCCTCCCTCTCCCTTTCTCCTCTCACCTCTCTTCCTCCTCCCCCTTCTCCCCTCCCCCTCCCTTTCTCCTCTCTCCTCCCTTCCTTCTCTCCCTTCCTTCTTCTTCCCCCCTCCCTTTCTCCCCCTCCCCCTCCCTCCCTCTGGCCTACCCCCTCCTCCCCTCTCCCTCCCTCCACCTGCCTTCCTCCTCCCCTGCCAGCCCCTCCCCCCTCCCTCTCTCCTCCTCCCTTCCCCCTCCCCTCTCTTCCCCCCTACCTCCCTGTGCCCTCCCCACCCTGAGCACCCAGCATATGGCCACTCTGTTCCTGTCCTCAGCCTCCATCAGGCCACCATTATCTCACGCAGGCGCCCTGTTCTCATCCTTGGGCACTCTCCTGCCCCCTGCAGGTTATCGTGTTTTATTCTTTTAGAGAAAGTAACTAAGAAACCCTGAGCTGTATTTCCCCTCAGAGAAGTACAGAAAGCCATGTGAAGCTAGAGAATCCTCTGCACAGACCCTGCAGGACTGGCAGGGGCTGTGACCTCTGCTCTCCCCAGGTCTCAGGGCCCCCCTTTCCTGTGTGCTCCGTGGTCCTGGGCTATAGACGCCACCCGTAGTTAGGGCAGGGCTGACAGATGGGACTTCAGGAGGAGTCCAGGACCACGATGGATGGCCGGCCGGATTGGGAACCAAGGGCTTGTCTGGGGCTGGGGAATGGTTTCCATGACAACACCCAGCAGCTGTGCCCCCCTGCCATGCCCCAGCCCGAGGAGCCCCTGGAAATCCCTAGAAGGCCCGAGAGTTCCCCGTGTCTGGGAGCCAGGACCCCCACGGCCTGGTGCTGAGCAGTGGGAGGGGGGTGCCTCCTCCCCTGCGGCCCCGGGAGCTCGGTGGTGCCTCTGCAGGCCTGCACCCCGGGGAGCAAACTGCTGCATGTGGTCCTTGAGGACAAAGCTGCCTGCAGGGTGTAGTTGGGGAACTTCCTAGAAGGAGCCAGGCACGGTGTCTGGGGCCCTGCCAGCAGGCATGTCCTCACCCCCCCCCACCATCGGCTGGCCCTCCTCAGGTACGAGATCAAGGACCTGCTCAGCCACGCCTTCTTTGCGGAGGACACAGGTGTGAGGGTGGAGCTGGCAGAGGAGGACCACGGCAGGAAATCTACCATTGCCCTGCGGCTCTGGGTAGAGGACCCCAAGAAGCTGAAGGGGAAGCCCAAGGATAATGGGGCCATCGAGTTCACCTTTGACCTGGAGAAGGAGACGCCTGACGGTGTGGCGCAGGAGATGGTAACGGGGCGCTCGCTCATGGATGGGGTGGTGGGGACGGTGGGTGTGGGGGTGTGCCTGCGGAGGTGTGGTCACCAGATTCCAGGGAGGACTGAACAGGGTGCAGCCCCACGGTGAGCGGGCGGATGCCACTGGGGGGTCACATGGGCCTGGGAAGGACAGCGCAGGTGGCCCCGCTGCACGGACGCTGGCACTGTGGTGAGGGCTCCCATGGAGCGGCCGTGGGGGACCCAGGATGTGGGTGACTGAGCCTTTGCTCTGACCTCTCACTTGGCTGCTGAGGCACCGTGTCTAGGATCGGGGGTGGAGGGAGAGAGCTGGTTGTCAGCAAGGTGCTGATTTTTGCGGTAGAAAGTGAGCACAAGTAAAAATTGGCACGCTCGCTGCCGGAGAGGCTGCCTCCTCTTACCGACTGTAGCTCGCTTTGGAAACCTGGTTCCTTACAGCCAGGCACCCGCCCCAGAGGCTGGACGGAGTCCACGCCGTCCTCGAGCCCCTGCTCAGATGAGGAATTGGGCCAGCTGTACCACGGAAGGTGCGGGTGGTGGGCTGGTGTGGAGGGCGGAGGGCACCTGGGACCGCGGCAGGTGAGGGTCCTGGGATCTTGATGTGGGGCTGCGTCAGGGCAGTGCTGACTGAGTGGGGCTGCATGGTTGGGCCCCTGCTGGCCTTGGACAGTGGCCTGTGCCCCTTTGGGCTCCTGCACAAGTGCTGTGGCATCCACTGTGGCCGGAGCCCTGGCCAGGACCACCCCACCTTCCTAGCTGCCGGTCACATCCCCGGGCCCAGAGACAGGACAGTGCTCCTGTCAGGTCCCTGCTGGCTGGGCCTTCCCTATGGGCGGATCGTAGCTTCCCTGTCCCTCACTGCCCAGCCACGGCAGACGCCAGGTCCTACCTTGGGACGGGGCCCTCCCACTCTTGGGGTTTCTGTAGCAGAACCCAGGCCTCTCCTGGGTCATCTCTGGATGGAGCGCTGATCCAAGGAGCCCACCGGCTGCAGCGTTCTAGGGCTCAGTGCCTCTGGCCGCCCCGCCCTGGGCGACAGCTTTCACTGGTCACACCTGCTTCTTGCAAAGTCGGGGCGGCACCAGCGCGATCCCAGCCCCAGTGTCATCACCTAAAACCACCTCCCAGCAGGTGGCTCCCGGGACGCAGGGGCCAGATGAAGGGCATGGGGGGCTGAGAGCAGGGCAGGTGCTCTGGGGTCCTGGGCTGGCTTTGACCTAGAGGCAATCCCTTGTGAGGACCCCGGAGACGGACTGGCAACCCTTCCCAGGGTCCACATGTCTGTGCCAGCCCTCCTGCCTTGGCCGTAGCTGCCTTGTCAGTGTGGCAGAGAATGGGTTCCCCTCTCTGGGAAAAAATAGAAGAAACACCTAGGAGAGGATCACCAATGGGGTGATGGCAAGGATGGAGACGGAGGAAATCTGGGCCATGGGCAGAAAATAGAAGCAGCAGGCGGGCATGTCTGTGGGGAGCCTTCCTTCCTCTGGTCATGGCGGCAGACGGACAGCGCTGACCTTGGGCATGGCCCCCCACCCGCATCCTGGCCACTCACGCTGCCACTCAGACTGCCACTCACACTGCCTGGGAGGCTGCACACTGGGACATCTGTGGGATTTCAATGCGGCTCATCTGCCCAGTGGGGTGGTTTTCTGAAATGGGATTTTGACTTCACCCATCATGAACTCACAGAAAAGTTGCAGATTTGCGACAAAGAATCCTTAGATGTCACCCTTAGAGATGACATCCAGGCCATGCCACACCTCCCTGCATGTGCTTACATCTTTGGCAACAGAGCAGCTTTCGTCCTCGGCCACCTCGCTGCCTGTGGTCCTTGGCGGGAGGCGATGCCTGCACAACAGCAGCTCCTCAGGGCGGCGTCTGCCTTGCCATCCTACCACGTGTGAGCGTGTCCACGAGAGCACTTGGCAGGGGCTGAGTCCTCACCACAGCCGCCCCCCGAGGACATGCCCTGTGATTGTGTGGTTGAGGGGTGTCTGCCAGCCGTCTCTGCATGTAGTGACGATTAAGGACACAAAGTTGTGCCTTGAAACCATGTAAATACCCATTTTCACCAAACTTTCTGTTTATTTGGATGTCTGTGGACTCACGGTTTTGTTGGTGAGTCGTCTGTGGCCACATGATGCATTGCCCAGACTCAGCACTCATGGTTGCACGCCATCCTTATGGTCAGGAGCCTGCAGGTGGCCTTGTGGGCCCTGCTTATTCTGGGTTGTCCCCGCAGCGTGGCTGGGTGTTAGCCGGGCCTGCCCGGGGCTGAGGGTCGTTCGGCGTCCCTGCTGCTGGCAGGAGACTCGGTTTTCAGCCGGTGTGTTGTTCCTCAGGGGTCACTTATAGCAGCTTCCTGTGAGCCAGGGATCCCGGGCGGGGGGTGGTGGTGTGGTATGTAGGGAGGGACAGAGGCTGCACACACAGGGCATCCTGTGACCTCACACCAGCAGCGTGCACGCTGCTTGGATCATCATGGTGACGCCGTGTAGTTCAATGCCCGGATGTCTGTGTTTGCCCCGTGGCCCTGGCTCCTGTGCCCTCCTGCACGTGTCCTTGTTCTCTCAGCCTGTCCTGGCTTCAGGCACAGTGAGGTGTCGAGGCCCCTTGTTCTTCTCCTGACACCGTGTTACCTGGGGGGCCCATACACTCACGCTGGCCAGGGTGCCATGCTGGGCCTGCCCAGTGTTCTGTACAATCACACATGTGCCGTGCCACATGCACACGTCTGCATCTGTGTGCACTTGTGTCTATTGTGTGTCAAAAGCCGTGAGCTCACACGGTTTCTGACAAGTGCCAAAAGGTTTGTGTTTTTTGCCCTTCCCCACGAGGCTGTCACAGTGACTGTGGACACTGGCCGCTGCCGTGCCGTGGTTTGTCGTTCATGTTCTCCGGGAGAGCCTGGGCTTCTGCTCACATGCTCTCCAGTGCTGTCCTGGGTCCAGAGTTTTCTGGGCATGGGTGCCAACCCTTTTGGTCTCAGGTTACATGGTGCCCCCCTTCCCTCCGTGCCTTCTCAGCGAATGCCCAGGGTGCACCTGGCATGAGGGCAGCTGAGGGTCTCTCCCCTGCACCCCCTCACCGTGGGTACAGCCACCTGCTGCATCCTTACTGTCCTGGGCACGGCGCCATGCAGGTCAGGGAATTTACAGTTGGCAGGAGGGCATATCCCAGTGGGAGACGAGGTGGGGGCCTGGGGAGGGACTTCTGCAGAGACCTCATGGGCGGGAGGTGGTGGTGCCGTCAGCAGTGCCCCCGTAGTGACACAGCGCCTCCCTTTGCAGATTGAATCGGGATTCTTTCACGAGAGCGACGTGAAGATTGTGGCCAAGTCCATCCGTGACCGTGTAGCATTGATCCAGTGGCGACGGGAGAGGATCTGGCCGGCCCTGCAGCCAACGGAGCAGCGGGACCCAGGCAGCCCTGACAAGGCCAGGGGTCCACCTGCACCCCTGCAGGTCCAGGTGACCTACCACACGCAGGCCGGGCCGCCGGAGCCCGAGGAGCCTGAGGTGGACCAGCACCTCCTCCCCAGTGCACTGCCGGCCAGCGCCACCTCCCTGGCCTGTGAGTGCCACCCTCCTTGTGCCCTCACACCCTGTGCATGTGGCAGGTGTGGGCGAGCCTTCTTCCTGGGGTGGGAATTGGGGTGACTCTGGCTCAGTGAAGCTCAGGTTTCTCAGGACAGGTGAGGACAGACAGGCAGACAGATCCAGGACCTCCCGTGCCCCAAGCCAGTGGGATGGAGCCGAGGATGTCCTGGCCTCCACCTGGTGGGGCGACCGGGCTGAGACACCACTGCCCTGGGGCCGCAGGTGGCTGCGGTTTGGTGTTCTCAGCCGGGACCTTTGCCCCCATGAGTATCTGTCCCGATCCTCTCCCTGGTATTACCCAACCTCTGAAACCTTTACCACACTTCCCCGAATTCACCCATGGGTTGCTGGAATCCCTCTAAATCTCAGGATCCTGGAAGAGAGAATCTGGGCAGAGCAGTGTCTTGCCTGTGCCCTCAGTGATCTAAAAATGCAGCTGTGGGCTGAGGATCAGGACGTGGTGTTTCCTGTCCATTTTGCGAGTACGTGCCAAGTAGAGCTGAGCCTGCCCAGGCTGCTTTTTCAGGTTGTTCGTGTGGAAAGACCAAAATAGCCCGTTCAATTTATGTAATAGGCACATACTTCATTTATCATTAAAATTATAGCTAATGTTCTTCAAACTAGGCTGTTTAAATTCAAACCGGTGGCTGGCTGTCACTTGGAGGCAGTTTGTCGTTGGTTTCCTTCTGACCGGCTCAGGTTTGCCTTGAAGAGTAAAACCACTACATCATCTCTCCATTTTTTTGATAAACCAAAATATTAATTAATGAGCATAAATTCTGTAGGAAAAAGCTTTTCTCATGCTGCACCACTTCACGCTTTAAACACCTGACCATGGGGAACAGTTTGCAGGCAGGAATGGAGAGACCACCTTGACCCAGAGCACACTGGCAGGAGTCAGGGGTCACTGCACACAGAGATCTGGGTTCAGTGTTGGGGGGGCATTTTCTCCGGACGTCCTCTTCCTGCCGCCTCAGCAGCTCTGTGAGCTTTGTGCAGCAGCCACCTGGTCAAGGGGGCGTTTTACCTGTGATGTGAGATTCAGACAGTGGGAGAGGGTTCACGGCAGAGCCAGTGAGAGTTCCACTTGGGGGCTGTTAACTGCCACTCGGTGGTAACTTTAGAGATAATGTGCACTTGTGATCATTCACACACACGCGTATGCATATGTATACACAGCCCACACATGTGCACCTAGTGCACGTGCACACCTCCCTCTGTGTCTCTATCCCACAACCCACCACACCCTCACACACGGTCCTGACCCCCTGCGTGTCCTCACCCCTTCCCTGCGCGTCTTCAGCCCCCACATGCACATCCTCACCCCCACATACGTGCTCTCACCCCTCCCTGTGCTCCCTCACCTCCCTCCTCATGCACCCTCATCCCCTCCCCGCGTGCCGTCACCCCCCGCATGCTTGCCCTCACCCCCCTTCGCGTGTCCTCGCCCCCTTGGCTGTCCCGCTGGCCAGTGTGCGCGGATGGCCTGAAAACTGTGTCAGGACAGTGGCATGCCAGGGCTCCAGCCTCATTACCGTCCCTGGAACTTGGGACTGGGCTTAAGTGACAGGATGAGTGATGGGCGGGCAGACACACTTGCAGGGTCAGAAGGGACAGCAAACATCCTGGGTAGGATTCTCCCAGCCCTGGTCGTGAGCTCCTGCCTCAGCCTGGACCGAGCTCAGCCAGAGGGTTGGGTCCACCAGTGACCCAGTGGAGCATTTTGTCAAGGGCTTTAAAGATGGTTTTTTAATTTTCAATTTTACTTATTTATTCTTAGCATGTTGGAGGGGATGGGGCAGAGGGAGGCAGAGGGGATCCCAAGCAGAGCAGGACAGGGGACTTGACCCCACGACCCTAAAATCTGACCTGAGCCAAAACCCAGGGCTGGATGCTCAAGTGACTGTGCCACCCTGGTGACCCTAAGGATGATTTAAAAAAAAAATATTTTACTTATTTATTCATGAGAGACACAGAGGCAGAGACACAGGCAGAGGGAGAAGCAGGCTCCCTACAGGGAGCCCATTGTAGGACTTGATCCCAGGACCCCGGGGTCATGCCTGAACTGAAGGTAGACACTAAACCACTGAGCCACTGGGCATCCCCCTAAGGATGATTTTTAAATTAATATTTAATTATAGAAGTAAACACATTACCTTTAAAATTTTTAAATGTTGTTTATATGGTTGGAGTCAGTTTATGTTAAATTTGCCAAGGTTTTACACATTTCTCTTTTTCTCACATACACTCTGTGTGTGTGTCTCTGGATGTCTCTGGGTCTCTGTGTATGTCTGTCTCTGCAGGTCTCTCTTTTTGTGTCTCTGTGCGTGTCTCTGTCTTTTTGTGTCGCCGTGTGTCTGTCTTTGTATCTCTCTGCATGTCTCTATTTCTGTTTTGGCATGTCTCTCTGTCTCTGCGTGTCTGTGTCTCTGTTTCTGCGTGTCTCTCTGTGTCTCTGTCTCTGCATGTCTCTGTGTCTCTGTCTTTGTGTCTCTGTCTCTGCGTGTCTCCCTCTGTTTCTGTGTGGAATCCACCACCAGCTGCCCCATGACAGGCAGGGCGGCCGTTGGGTTGGCTCTGGGCCTGTGGCATTCTCATGCCCTCTGGGTTGGAGGGTGTGCCCGGATCAGCCCTAGAGCAGTATCCTGACATCAAGGCAGCAGGATGGTGCCAGCACCCTGGAAGTGCCACAGGGCGATGCTCCAGCTGCGGGGGAGGTTGGGTGGGGTAGGGAGGTGGGGGGGGGGCGCTGGGCTCTGTGGCGCCCATGGGGGACTGCCCAGATGTTAGGCAGTGTTTGGGGGGGGTGCCAAGGCATCTCTGGGTGCGTTCCAGCCCCATCCCCCTCACCGTCCTGGGGCCTGTGGTCTGCACATGCAGTTACTACTCAGGTGGCTGGGGACCCTCACTGCGTTGGGGTTCACAGAAGCCCATGGGCATTCCCGGAGAGTTGCGTGGGGTGTCCCCCACATAGGGTGTCCCCCCTGAGCCTGCTCTGGTTCTCCCCAGCGGACAGCACCCTCGACAGCGGACAGGGCTCCACCGTGTACTCAGACTCGCAGAGCAGCCAGCACAGTGTGGTGCTGGGCTCCTTGGCAGACGCGGCACCGGCCCCGGCCCAGTGCGTGTGCAGCACGCCCGTGAGCGTTGGTGATGGCCCTGTCCTGCCCTACAGCCTGCCCCCTTTGGGGACCTACCAGCAGCCAGCCACGGTGAGTCAGCCTGCCCCCTCGTGTCCCAGACCCCGTCCCTGGGGCCCCACCATGTCCCTGGGGCCGGTGGGAAGTCGAGTACCAGCCACATTGAGGCCTCAGGTCCCTGAGCTGCTGACCCCAGCTGGTCCTGGGGTGCGGCCCCTTTGGCTCAGCAGTTTCAGATGAACGGGGAGCATACGGTGTGCCCACCTGCACCAAGCGGTGGCAGCTTTGCTCGTTCCCAGCCCCAGGATACTGGAGGGCCTTCCCAGTTGGCGTGGACGGCTGGGCCCCCAGCCTGACGCCCTCCCCGGTTCAGACCTGCTCCCTCCCGGTCTTTCCCGGGAAACCTCAAAAAGCTGTTTTGTCTGTAGAGGGTCCAGTCTGTATCTACAGGGTCAGGATTCTTTTTTTTTTTTTTTTAAGATTTTATTTATTTATTCATGAGGGAGAGAGAGGCAGAGAGACACAGGCAGAGGGAGAAGCAGGCTCCATGAAGGGAGCCAAACGTGGGACTTGATCCTGGGTCTCCAGGATCAGGCCCTGGGCTGAAGTGGTGCTAAACCGCTGAGCCACCAGGGCTGCCCCAGGTCAGGATTCTTGATAACAGAACCCAACATTATTACCCCTAAAAGTGGCCATGTTATCGGCTGTCTTTGTTAGTACCAAACATCCAGCATTCAGTCCTCAGACTCCCTCCTGGGTCATGTGCGTGCTGCCTCTGGCGGTGAGGATGCCTGTCTGCCACCCATTGTCCTGCTGGCCATGCCGCTGGAGGTGGCAGCTCCGTTTGTGACATGTCTCCATACACGGGTCTTACCCGGTCCTATAGATGGGAAGCAAGCGCCACGTCCTGAGTGTCTGTCCCTGGTGCTGCAAAGCCCCTTAGGATGTTTTTTTTTTTCTTCTCCCGATTGCATAATATTCCATGGAGCTGAAGTTCCAGAACATTCCTTGCTTGGAGTAGTGGCCATCCTCAGCTTAGGGGCCCCCACTTCTCATCTCTGCCAAGCTCTGTGCCCAGGAAGGAGTCCCCGGAGGGGTGACAGGCCTAGGGAGTGAGGGTTGAGCCCCTGCAGCCATGGTGTGGCTGCAGGAGGGGCACCTGGGGCAACTAGTGAGTGTGGCCCTTGGTGCTCCCTGCAGCCGGGCCTGTCTGTGGCCTCTGTCCCGGCCTCCACCCACCCTCCGCTCCCGCAGCAGCATTTCCCGGAGCCGGCCATAAGCTTTGCCCCCGTGCCGACCGGCCCAGGCCAGCCTGTGCCCCCTGGCCACCAGGTGAGTACAGGCTGCCCCTGCCTGCCGCCTCATGGGTACTCTTCCTCGTGCCCGGCCTGGTGGTGGCAAGGTCTGCTGGCCCAGGGCCTGGGGTGCAGGTGGGAGTTCACAGGGGGTTCACAGATCCACAGCATGTAGAGGGCCCTTGCATGCACAGATCTGCATGTTGGGTCCACCTTGGGTGTTTGTGTGTGTGAGTTAGTTTTCCCTGACCCGGCGGGGGTGGGGGTGTCTCAGCAGGACGGTGGTCTAAGAGAAGACCCCTCTCTCCCCAGCCGCCTCCGCTGGCCCAGTCAGCGCCCCTGCCCCCTGTCCTGGCCCCGCCGCCAGTCGGCCCTCTCCAGCCGGTGCCCTCCCACCTGCCTCCCTACCTAGCTCCAACGTCCCAGGTGGTAGCCCCCGCTCAGCTGAAGCCCCTCCAGATGCCGCCTGCACCTCTGCAGCCGCTGCCTCAAGTGCCTGCTCAGGTAAGGCCCCCCCCACCAACCCCTTGCCTCCGCCCCCACTCTGGCGGTCACTCTGTCTTCTGGGCTATAAGGGCTCGTGGGTTGTGGGGACAAGAACACTACCTGGGGGTAGGTGGCCATGCCTTTGGCGTCTTTCCCGAGCCTTTGGCGTCTTTCCCAAGCATGTCCAGGTCAGGGACAGGTTTGGTCCAGGGTCAGGGCCAGTGGAGCCAGGGAGGAGCCCAAAGCTATGGCTGCTGTCTGTGCTGTGCCCGCCATGCTCCTGGGGAGCCCAGGGCCTCTGTGACCAGTGACATTGGATGGCACGTGATGCCCAGGTGCTGTTACCCAGGCTAATGCCATCGATGGCTTATTCCCCATGGGTCTATCACATCGTGTTGGTGGGACTCGGCCGGGAAGCGCCGCCTCATGATGAAGATGTGAGTGTCCCTGCAGTTTGTGGATACAGTGTGGACGCATATTTCTTGTCACCATCCTCGTCCTCAGCTTAGCCATGTTGGGGTTGTTTTTGGTGTTGAGTTAAATGGCTGTTCGCTGTCCGGAGGTAGAGGCATTCCAGCACACGGAGGTTGGTGTGCCTACTCCAGCTGCTTTATAATCGTGCTAAGGCGTGTATTACATGATGCTGCTCGAGCGCTGGCCACAGGAAAGGTTTAGGAGAATCACTGCAGGATCTGAAATGATGGAGGTGCTCTCTCCAGGAAGTCAGATACTGGGTGTCTCTGGCAAGGATGACCAGACGTAGAAGGTTCCAGAGCTTTGCTGCAGGAAGAGGCCTGCTCCCCAGGCCCCACAGCACAGGGGCGCTGCCTCAGCATGTGGGCACTGGGAGACGCACATTCCCTGAGACGGCCTGCCACGGAATTTGGATCACAGGGGTGGGGAATCAGGCAAAGTGCTTTCAGATCTTCAGGCCAGTTTGGCAGCTCTGACCATCCTGATTCTCTGAATGAAAGTGTGTGGAAGCCGCAAAGCTGGCGGTCACTGCTCTGAGCACGGACCAGAGCTGCCCGCTGTTCTTGCAGCTACCCACGGGGACCGGGCGGGGGCATGGCATGGGCTTCCCATGGCACCAAAGGGGGCCCCCCTGGGCCTGTTTACATTGGGTCTGTGGTTGGGTTTCTTCCCGAGGCAGCTACCCTGTGGTGCAGGCGGCCAGGCCCTGCAGCCCTGGTGACTCCGAGGTGCTCCCATGTCTTTCAGGTGCCTCCGCTCCCTGTGGGGCCCCCCATCGCACCCCTGGCCTCCCTCGACAGCCTCCCTGCAGCTCTCCCCGACCTGCCGGCCGCTGGGGGGCCCACCGTGCCCGCCCCCTCTCAGTATTTCTCTCCCGCCGTCATCTTGCCAAGCCTTCCACTCAGCGCCGCCACTGCCCCCCTGCCCACGTCCCCAGCGTTGCCTCTGCAGGCAATCAAGCTGCCCCACCCCCCTGGGGCACCGCTGGCCATGCCATGCCGGACCATTGTGCCAAATGTGGCTGCCACCGCCACTGCCATCCCTCTGCTGGCCGTGGCCCCGCAGGGTGTGGCCGCCCTGTCCCTTCACCCGGCCGCCGTGGCCCAGCTTCCGGCCCAGCCTGTGTACCCGGCAGCCTTCCCGCAGATGGTGCCTAGTGACGTCCCACCATCTCCCCTCCACGTAGCGCAGAGCGTGCGGGCGGCCCCTCCACAGCCAGCGCCTTCCACGCTGCAGCAGCCCCACCAGTCAAGCGTTGCGCGTCTTCCTGAGCAGGCTGCTCCAGCGGGGGCGGGAAGCCAGGTAATCCACCTGCCCCTGGGGTGCACCCTCCAGGTGGAGGGGGGTGGGGTGAGGGGAGTTGGGGGGGCATCTCTAGTATCTAACTTGGGAATGAGGTTCTGGGGGCAGATGGGGGGGTGAACAGGTGGTTCTGTTTCTTGGCCCTGGCTTCTGTGTGCAGGGTGTCTGCCGGGCAGGGCCTCATGGTACCTGCCCTCCTCCCCTGGGTGGGGCTGGCAGTTGTGGTGTGGTGGTGTCAGCTCTAGCATGGGTGGGGGGGCCTCCTAAGGGAGAGACGAGGGAGGGGCTCACCACTCCCCCAACAGCCAAGGACAGTGTCCAGGGTCAGGTGGGGACCTCAGGCAGCATGCCACACTGACAGGGAGGGATGTAGGGATACATGCCTGAGGCCCCACATGTGAACCCCCACCTGTGTTTTGGAGCTCCAGGGCTGTTGGCCAGCCTCATGTGAGGAGGGGAGCCAGAGTGGGGGCCTCTCCCCTAGGAGCCCCCTTTTGTAGCCTGTTTCCCAGGGGCCTCTCCTCTGGAGCCCCCGTTTGGCTCTAAGCCTCAGCGCTGTGTACTCGTAGTGAGCTCTTTGCCTTCTAAGCTCTCCTGTGTGGTAGGGTCCAAAGCCCCTTCGTCTTCATGGTGGAGACCCACCCCAGAGTGTGTGGAGGCCCTAGGGGTCATCCTGTGCCTGCTCCTGTCTGGTCCACATCCCCAGAGCACACGGACTTTCAACATCTGATTCCAGAAAGGATCTGTTCTTGGAGGAGGAGGGTAGTTTTGTTCGATGGCAAGATGGGCTGTTGTACCATCAGGTTTGCGGTGGTGCCGCAGTCTGGAGCCCTACTGAGCCAATGCCTGCTGGTCCGTGACCTGGGGTGACGCCTACTCATGGGTCAGGGCTGTTTCAGGAAAGCCAAGGCCACGCGGAGGCCTGGGGTCTGCACTGGGAGCTTGCTCAGCTGGTGGCTGAAGAAGGTGCTGCGTGTATAGAGGTTGTCGGCCTGGCCTAGTGGCAGGCTCCCCACTCTCTACAGCCTGTTGACGGGCTGGGCTGGCCGCCTCATGGGCTTCCCAATGCTGAGAGCAAAACTCCCCTGAAAACAAAGCTGGGGTCCTTCCAGCAGAACAGTGCCCACCCAGCGGTGGCTTTTGTATCTGACCACATGCACCACGTAGCTGATCTGTCCTATACTCGTGGGGCCAGTGGCGGGCCTTCCCGTCCCTGACTGTGTCCCTGAGGTTGGCGGGATGGAGGCTCCCAGCAGGAGCTTTTAAAGGGGAGGCCGTGAGGAGTCCAGCCCACCTCCAGAGCTGCCCACCGAAGGCCAGCGTCCCTGGTTCCTCTTGCGTGTGGCTGACCGTGTGGGCGAGGTGCTAGCGCATGGGGCTGCCCCAGGGAGCCATGTTCAGTGCTAAGTATGTGCCATCCTTAGAGCTTCAGATGGATTAAACTGAGGGATCATAAGTGAGATGTGGATTGAGGTTTGATTCTGCACACAGGGACCTGAGAGTCCCCATTCTTAGTGGTTTCTGCTAAATCTGTGTGCTAACGTGCTGAGGCTATGCTGGACCGGCGAGGACAGCTGTTACCCCCACCCTGGGTGCTCACCCACCTGCATGGGGAAGCACCTGCCTTGCTCCAGGACCCTGTGGCAGAGGCATGGCTGGCCCTCCAACCTGCATCCCTGCCTCCTGTGCCCCCAGATCCTGCTTGGCCACCCACCTCCGTATGCTGTGGATGTCAATGCCCAGGTCCCCACTGTGCCCGTACCTGCTGCCATCCTCTCCCCACCTCTGCCGGAAGTGTTGCCGCCTGTGGTCCCCGAGCTGCCTCAGCTCCCCAGCTCCCTGGCCCCTGCAGTGGCCGCAGCTTCTCAGAGCTTGCCCGTCCAGACCGCCGCACTCCTGCCGCCTGCTGCCCATGTGCCACCACCCACCGGACCTGGGATCACCAGCCCCTGCCCGGCCGTGCAGCTAACAGTGGAGTCGGCCTCAGAGGTGTGTGTTCCTGCCTTCAGGGCTTGGCCCTGGTGCCTCGCCCTGACCCCCACCCCAGCATCCCAGTGGTCCCCTACTTGGTGGTATTAGGTCTCAGCTAAGGAAAGTGTGCCCTGTGGCAGCTGTTCTAACCCTAGCCCTCCTCCGCTGTCCCTGTACACTGCACTTTCCTTGGACACTTCTGCCAGAAAGCATGGTGGTGACCTGTGGAATTGCGGGGCCTTGCCTCGAGGATGGGGGCAGGCCCGCTGCTCCTCTACTGGGAAGATCAGAGTGGGTCAGCGTGTAGGCCAAGGGGAGGCCTAGCTTTTAGCAACCGCACGGGAGAAAACCCTTACACCTGCTACCTCTCGTGGTCAGCTCCCTGGGTGGGGAGGTGGGAGGGGCCGGCCAGGAGCAGGTGCGCCATGGGGGGCCCGGTGTGACCCGTCCTCCCATCCGTGGTTTTGTTTCAGGAGCAGGCCTCCCAGGACAAGCAGCTCGGGCCCCCGCAGAGCTGCGAGAGGTAAGGGCCCAGTTGGCCCGTCGGGTGGAGGGGGCAGCCACGGCCTCACACGGATCTCTCTCGAGAGTCAGGGTTTCTTGCGATGTCACCCGTTCCCAGCTGGACATGGTGGAGCCGTCTGGGTTGTCTGGGCCTCTGTCCATACTCGGCCTGGTTGTCACATGCTCTGTGTGCGTCCTGCATCCTGGTGCCTGTGGTGCCCAGGATGTTCTAGAAGGGAGAGGCAGTGGCTCGCCCCCCAGCCCCATGCTCCCGGTCACAGAACATGTCCCATTGGGCGGGGACTGGACACACGGAGTGGCCGTGTGACCTGGTGCACTAGCACCAGACTCAGTGCTCTGCAAACCCCTCAGACCCTGCGGTCCTCCCAGGTGGTTGTCACATTCCTGTTGCTGTTACACAGACAGGGAAACTGAGGCACGGGGGAGGATTTTCTTCATCCTGTTGTTTCCTGTGAACCAGTACAGCCTGAGTCGCAGGTCAAGGGTCAGAGAGGACAGAGGTCCTGGGTCATATGGCCAATGCGTTCTCCACAACCCCAGCACCACCCTAGCCGGGTGGGACAGCAGGAGGAGGGGCTGGGGGCCCTGAAGGTGGGGTCTGGGCCAGCTTCACACCTGCCACATTTTCTGGCCCTTTCCATGTGTGGCTGGTGTGCAGGCTGCTGTCACATCCTGGGTTTTCACACAGCTACGGAGGTTCTGATGTCCCCTCTGGAAGAGAGATGAGTGACAGCTGCGAGGGAACGTTTGGCAGTGGGAGGCTAGAAGGCAAGGCCGCCCGGAAACATCACCGCCGGTCCACGCGTGCCCGCTCTCGCCAGGAGAGAGCCAGCCGCCCGCGGCTCACCATCCTGAATGTGAGTGGCCACATGTGGCCTGAATGTGAGGGTGGGCCCAAGGGTGCAGGGCTTCCCAACCGCGGCCCACGGTGGCCTCACCACCCGGGTGCCCGTAGGTGTGCAACACAGGCGACAAGATGGTGGAGTGCCAGCTGGAGACACACAACCACAAGATGGTCACGTTCAAGTTCGACCTGGACGGGGACGCGCCCGACGAGATCGCCACCTACATGGTGAGGCCTGGTGTCTTCCTGGGGTGGGCAGGGCTGTCTCCTTGGCTCCATGGGCCCCACAGTGGCCACCTGCTGTGGGTGGTGCCCATCACCTGGAGGGTGACCTCTGTCAGCCGCCCCCTGCCCCAGCTGGGTCTTCCATGAGCCAAGTGCCAAGTAGAGCGAAGGAGAGACATCAGGGAAGGCCAATGGCCCGTGGTGTGCCCCCAGCAGGGCTGTCTGTGCCATTGCAGGTGGAGCACGATTTCATCCTGCAGGCTGAGCGGGAGACGTTCATTGAACAGATGAAAGACGTCATGGATAAGGCAGAGGACATGCTCAGCGAGGACACGGACATTGACCGCGGCTCTGACCCTGGGACCAGCCCACCATACCTCAGCACCTGCACCCTGGGCGCTGGGGAGGTGCGTCCTGGGGGTGGGATCCTGGGAGGGCCGGGGCATGTGGCCACCTGGGGCCCCCAAGTGCAGGGTGAGGGGCAGGGTGGGGGGGCGCCTTCAGCTTAACGGGAGAGGCCCCCTGGGGTGTTTTGAGGCTATGCTGCCTCTGAAGCAAACTCTTGTGTCATGTGGTCTGCTGATTCCTGACCCTCTACCTCTGCCAGGAGAGCCACCAGTCCCAGGCCAACGCCCCTGTGTATCAGCAGAACGGTACGTCTGCCTTCTGGGTCCATCTGCCCTCCGGAGGAGGCACTTCCACCTCACTCCTTCTGCCTTTTAGCGGGTGTTTATTAAGACCCACCTGAGCATGTCATCCGGGTTGGGCCATCAGAGGGCGAGTGCTGTGGTGTGTGCTGAGCATCTCCCTGGGAGTGGGTAGGCTGACCTGAGGGACCGGGTCTGGTGCTGGTGGGGACTGAGTGCCATGTGGTCTCGCCACTGCCACCTGTTGCCCAGCTGGTGTTCCCCCTTCATCAAGGCACTGCAGGTGCCCTGGGAACTGAGCCCATGTTGTGGGTGTCATGCGAGCCCAAGACTGCCTGCACATGGCCCCCGTGGGGTGAGCTCCCAGTGCCCTGATGACAGGTGCGGTGCAGTTGGGGAGGGGTCCCACTGGCCTCAGGAGAAGTTTATAGGGTCCCTTCCACCCTCTGTGTCCTGCTCCGTAGTCCTGCACACAGGCAAGAGGTGGTTCATCATCTGTCCGGTGGCCGAGCACCCTGCAGTGGAGGTTCCTGAGTCCTCGCCCCCACTTCCTCCAAGCTCTGTGCAGCCAGAAGCCAGCCAAGGTAGGAGCCACTGTGAGTTCCCAGCCCTTGTCCCTGTAGTGTGGTGTGCTGACTCAGTCAGCTCCTGTCACCCCGAGGCCCCAAGCAGCCTGGCAACCACACTCCACCTGGTGAGCCCAGCCAGGGAGGCTCTCAGGCTTGAGCCCATCCTTACCTTCATGGTGCACGACACAGGTGACACCCTTGGGCTGCTTAGGTGCAGACTGAGGGCTCTGGCCTCACCCTCTGTACCCAGTGTACCCCACTTCTCACCCCCCTCTATGCAACCTACCCTCAGGGAGTGCTCCTTCTTGCTTCTCTTGTCCTGGGGGTAGGGTGTGTAAGACCCTTCCAGGACTCAGACTCTCTCATTTTAAATCATCCTCAAGGAAATCTGCCTGATAGTGAATTGCCCCCCCCCCCCCATCTGGACCTGTGTCAGCAAGCTTGCCCTTGGGGCTGTCGTTAAATCCTGATTTTTTGGTCCCTTGGGAGGTTGAAAATAGTCATTTGAACAGATTTTAGGTTTAATTCCTCGTAAGCTGGCAGGAAAACAGGAAGAAGTTGCCAATTATGTAACTTGACCTAACTTAATGAATGGCTCATGCATGAAAAATAGTTGTAAATCATCTTTCATTTCGTACCGTGTGTTCCCAGCGACGTCCATCATACTTTTGGAGGTTTGTTCCCGTAGGGAAAAGGTCAGCTTGATAACGAAATCCCCAAGGAGCCATAAACAGACCTGGTAACCTGAGATAAAGGGTCTGGCCCATGCCTTGTGAAGGATCAGGGGAGCAACAGCATTGTCTGCAGTGGCTCAGCTTTAAAATAAGAATATGCTCACCTACTACTTCTTGATTTTTATGCATACACATCTAGTGACCTGTGGGGGGGGAGAAGAGCCCTCATAGAAATAAAGCTGAATTTCAGTGTGGTGCAGTGATTCATAGGACAGGCTGAAGTTAAGCCCTGGTTCCCTCATCTGTGCCCTGAGCTCAGGAAACCTTTGGAGCCAATTTCTTTATTTAAAAAAAAAAAAAAAAAGTGGCTACCCCCAGGGATGGCAGATCTGTTCATTGGGATGAACCATTCACAGAGGACAACCAGAGAAGTTGGATGCATTATAAAGATCGTCGGGTGGAAGGTATTTGGGCCTCTAAAGACTGTGCAGATCAGGCCAAGGTACAGGGCAGCGTGGGGATGCAGGGGCGCCCGGGCTGGCTCTGCTCCCCGGGAGGCCATGCCCATCTCTGCAGGGTGATTGAGAGGCTGGGCATAGAAACTTCCACCGCTCGGCAGGCTACAGGAAAGGGGCTGAATCATGCTGTGAAGCGACAAGCCAGGCAGAGAGAGGAGCCACCTCAGCACAGTGCCCGCGTTAAGGTGATCTCGGAGCAGGCACTCAGTCCTTTCTGCAGGAAGGCAGCACCATTCTGAAGCTTGCCATTGCATGGCTTTATGAACACGTATTTGACTCAGAGTAAAAAATAACTGGGCAGAGAGTCCTGGTTCTGGGTGAGAGGGTGTATGCATGCCACGCCGGCGCTTCACTCACGAAACCCACAGTGTGCTGGGGCCAGGGCAGGGTGCAGCTTTTGGAGATGTGAGAAGTGAGTAGCAACAGGAGAAGAGGGAAGTGTGCCAGAATTCCAGGGATTCCTGGGCTGGTGGTGAGCTTAGTGTTTCCCTCTGATGCCTTCTGGCCTGAGGTCAGGGCAGCATGAAGCCTAGGAGTGAGTCCTGGACTCAGACAGGGGAGCTCTAGCAGATGCCCACTGAGGAGGGAACTCCTAAAGCTCAGAGCATGTTGTGAGTCCCTTGCCACTCTCTACGTGCCCCAGCCCACCTACCATCCTGAGGGGTAGCAGCCGGGAGAGGAGCCAGCTTGGTGATAGGGGACAACCCTTCCCCCTGCTGGGTAGAGCCTGGGCTCAGCCGGTGCAGAACTAACACCCACTGCCTTTTCTCACTTTTTCTTCTGCCACTTGGCTCTGTTCCTCATAGTTGTGGGAGGAGGGGAAGGTCTCTCTCCAGGGAGTTGGGAGGGGATCACGGAGATCACGCAAAAGGAGGAGCTTGGGGAAGCAACAACATAGTGTCTTTGATGAACTCCCAGGCTCACCCCCACCTGTGCGTGTATGGATCTGATTCTTAGTAGCATATAATAAACAGAACTGAGTGTGGATAGATTGGCCCCTGAGTAGTACATGCCTGTTTCAGGTCAGGTTAGAGCTGCAGAGACACTGAGAACTCACCAGACATTGTAGCCTCAGGTCACAGAAGGTGGGTTGTAACTCACAGTGTGAACCCAAGCAGGTCGATTGCCTGCATCTCACCATAGGGTTTAAACAGACCTAGGGTCTCATTCAAAGCCCAGTCCAATCCAACTCAACCAGTGCAATCCAAATATTCACCAAATGAAAAACCATAAAAATGCCAACTTGCATTAGAAAAAGACAGCCAACCTTGACAATGATGAGATGAAATAGATGTTCGGATGGTCTCACAAAGACGTCAAGGAAACTTATAAACATGCTTCAACAAGCAGTCACAAATGTTCTTGAAACAAATGTTAAAGTGGAAAGTATTCGTGAAGAAATGGGATACAAAGAGGAGACGTGGGGCACCTGGGGGAGCTCCATCGGTGAAGTGTCTGCCTTTAGCTTAGGTCATGATCCCAGGGTCCTGGGATCAAGTCCCACCTTGGGCTCCATGCTCAGTGGGGAGTCTGCTTCTCCCAGTCCCTCCCCCCTACTTGGGATCTTTCTCTCATTCTCTCTCAAATAAATAAATAAAATCTTAAAAAAAAAAAGCATACATACAGAAGAGGAGACACATGGGAACTTGAAAAGTGAAAAATAAATGCCTGGAACTAATCAGAACTTAGAGAAAAATGAACAGAGTTTCATGGACTGTGGAATGGCAACAGAGGGCTAACATTTGTGGCATCAGTCCCAGAAGCAGAACAGAAAGCGTGCAGTGCTGAAAAAATAATTGAGGAAATAAGGTGGAAGACTTCCCAAGTTTGGTGAAAGACAAACTTACAGATTGAAGAAGCTGAATGAATCCCAAAAAGAATGAACCCAAAGAAATCTGTTATCTGGACACATCACACACTGCTGAGAAAGAAAGACAAAAATTGTGAAAGCCACCAGAGGGAAATGATGGGGGGCCTGGAGGGGAGTGGTGGTTAAATGACTGCGGATTTGTCACCAGAAACCATGGAGTCTGGGATGGAAGTGGCACAGCATTTCTGAAGTGTCAGGAAAAAAACCTGTCAACCCAAGAACCTGTTTTCAGAAGAAATATTCCTTGGAAATGAAACTGAAAAAAAAAATTTCAGGTAATGACAACAGCATTTGTCGCCAGTTACCAGCTCTAAAGGAAGAGCTGTCTGAGGATCTTGGTAAAGATATAATAGAAAAAAATAACTTAAACCGAAAGAAAGAAGAAACAGAATTTTTATTTTTTATTTTTTTTAATTTTTTTTAATTTATTTATGATAGTCACACACACACACACAGAGAGAGAGGCAGAGACACAGGCAGAGGGAGAAGCAGGCTCCGTGCACCGGGAGCCCGATGTGGGATTCGATCCCGGGTCTCCAGGATCGTGCCCTGGGCCAAAGGCAGGCGCCAAACCACTGCGCCACCCAGGGATCCCGAAACAGAATTTTTAAGAGAGAAACAGGGAACAAATTCCTAGACTTACATCGGAACATAACAGTAATTGAATTAAATGTAAATGGTTGTAGCACATCATTTAAAAGATAGACATTGTAAGAGTGGATGAAAAGAAAATCCAACCTAATTACCATCTATAAGAAACTTCAAATATAATGATATAGGTAAGTTTAAAGAAAAAGCATTGTGAAGATATCCCATGCAAACACCAGTCAAAAGATCACTGGGGTCCCTTTAATATCATACAAAATAGAGCAAAGAAAATTACCAGGAATAATTACCAGGAACAAAAACATTATAAAAAATGGGTAAGTTCCTAGAAACACATAATACCCCGAGACTGAATCGCAAAGAAAAAGAAAATCTGAATAGACCATTACAAGTAATGACATTGAATCTGTAATTTAAAAAGTCTGACCAGGGGTACCTGGGTGGCTCAGCGGTTGAGCATCTCCCTTCAGTTCAGCTTGTGATCCCGGGGTCCCAGGATTGAGTCCTGCATCAGGCTCCCCACAGGGAGCCTGCTTCTCCCTCTGCCTATGTCTCTGCCTGTCTCTCTGTGTGTTTCATGAGTAAATAAATAAAATCTTAAACAAACAGTCTGCCCCAAAACAAAAGTCCAGGACCAGAAGGCTTCTGGTGAATTCTACCAAATATTTTTTATTTTATCTATTTTTCTCACAAGGGAAATTTGTTTTTTTATTAAGAAAATAAAAACAAAATATAACCAAATGTCCACAGCTGAAGTTTTATGTAGAGAGCAATTTATATTGTAAATATAAGTAAGAATATAATAAGTATACGTATAAGTAAGAAATACTTATAAAAAAACAAAGTTTTCAAATCAGTTATTTATACCTCCACCTGAAGAAACCAGGAAAAGTACACCTGAATCTAATGTAACAGTGTATGTCAACAAGATTGGAATTAAAATAACTTTTTTGAGTGATACTCAATATTTTTATTTTTATTTTTATTTTTAAGAATTTTATTTTGATGACCTGGTGCTCATCACAAGTACACCCCTTAATCCCCATCACTGACTCCACCCACCTTCTCTCTGGTACCAGCAATGTGTTCTCTGTAGGTTAGAGTCTGTTTCTTGGTTTGCTGTCCTTCTCTCTCTTTTTCCCTTTGCTCGTTTGTTTTGTTTCCCAAATTCCACATAGGAGTGGGATCATACAATATCTTGTTATATTCTCTAGCTCCACCTGTGTTATGGTGAATGGCAAGGTCTTCTTCTTTCTTCTTCTTCTTCTTTCTTTCTTTCTTCTTCTTCTTTCTTCTTCTTCCTTCTTCCTTTCTTCTTTCTTCTTCTTTCTTCTTTCTTTCTTCTTC